ACAATGAAACACTTGAAAACTTGTAAAGGTAAACCCAGACACAAGATTGAGATCAGACAGGACAAGATGAGGGTTCGGTTTTGGTTATGTGAAGAATCTAAAGTGATCCTGTGCAGTGAGATTGCCTTGGCAATAAGTGCACTCCCAAAACTGCTCTAAATAGCCCAAAAGTTATGATGCACTATTACCCAGAAAGATGTTCCCTTACAGCAATTTCAACCAATATCTTAACGTCTCTCCTATAAACTCATGCTGAACCATACCACCGTTTGTCTACTTCTAGGGACTTGCCATAATACATATGACCAAAATAGCAGTGCAGCCCATGTTACTGGCTCATGATGACACAAATGTCACTATACAGCTCCCAGGAACTCAGGCATAAGAAAGTTTAACAGTACCCAACTGTGTTAACACCTACAGTTGTTGTGTGGTACCAGTCCCTCAGGTGGTCAATCTTGGGACTTTACATGAGATTGACTAGGTGTAGTTTCAGGTATCCTACAAGTGAGTAGCACTACTCCTTGAGTCTAGCAATGGGGGAAAAAAACTGAAAGCCATGTTGCAACATAGCTGCATTAAAAAAATGAAGAATCTGTGTATTTGTGATGGATTCAAACATTACTTTTTGACATGTAAATTCAGTTCTAACTGAACTGTTAACACTATTTTATATGCAGGGGGTAAAATAGTGTAACAGTAAAACAGTTAATAAAACTTAAAAATAAACAGAGTTTAACGACAGGAAATTGATTCCAGTTGTCAGAGCACGTATACGCATACCTTAGCTTTGTGCAACAACCTGAAACTTTCAGGTACCATAAATAATATTATTGCTAAACATATGCCATTCTAATCTGCAAGCGACCATAATATAGAATACGAATTTTTGTATAAAAATGCATTAAGTCCTGTTCTACACCTGCATGCTTTGGAAGCACTGGCCTACCTGTATACAAAATATACAAAATGCTTTTAAATCTAGCATTACCACACACATTGTATATATATAAAAAGTATTGATCTAGGATGGTAAAACAGACGAAACTTTGTGTTTGCTTTCTTCTCTTTTCAGCATGGAATGAACTTATTACTTGATCATTCTGTGCAGGCAAACTGATCACTCATGAAATTCTTACACAATTGCATAGCACTGCATAATTTAGAGTGACTTATGCATTGTGGTCCTGGAGTGTTTCTGTACATTTTCCGAATTCAGCTGAAGCTATGAAACCCAAAATAAGCAATATGATTGGTTGACCACGTCTGCTGTCCAAACCATCGGGATCTAATGACAGCAGATGCCAAGATGTCTCAGAGATGCTCACAAATTTTACAACCCCTCATGTTTACAGTCACTCATGAAGTACCGAGGTCTAAATTAGACTATTTTATTAACGTGCTTCACATTGTGGTTTAATAGGTTGATTGCTTCTGCTTACTTAACAGGGAACAACAATTGCTTTTCCCCATAGTGTTGCAGTATCTTTTGAAAAATTCAAGCAGTGTATCGTTAAAGTAAGGAAAATTGGAGCAAGGAGTAAAAAACAGGAGCAAACATTCAAATAATGTTCTGTGCATAGTCAAGAGACCCATGGACCACCCTGCTACTTACCATTCTTGGTTTAATGGGCGCTGTACGTAACTGGGGATGTTGCATTCTGGGATTGATCTGGGGCTGTATATTGTGCAGCTGTTGTCTGAAGGGCGGCTGCTGTCCGTGCAGCAGGGGGCGCTGTGCCACAGGGTGGTGCTGGGGCTGGTGCTGGTGCTGATGCTGATGCTGGTGCTGATGCTGATGCTGATGCTGGTGCTGGAGAGACTGGTGCAGATGGTGCTGTGGCTGCTGCTCGTGGTGAGGAGGCTGGGAATGCAGTGGGGGATGCATCAACCCCTTTAATGGAAAAGGGAAGCAGAGCTGCATGACACGGGCGAACCAGTCACTCAGAAAACGGCTCATTTAAAATGTACCACTTTTGATTTTGGACCCCCTGGTAAAAGGGGCTTTAATTATTAGCTTTGTTAGTATCTTCTATTCACATCTCTATGATCAGAGCATGCTAAAATTCAACCAAGTAAGGATGATAGTGATGTAAACCTGTCCAGAAAAACAGAATCCTTGAAACTCAAATACAGTAAATCACTTTGAGTCTTTGAATAAAGCAAAACAAAAAACTAAGAAGACTTCTCCATATTTTCGTAACTCTTTGAAGTTACTAATTATGCAAAATAAGCATCCATTTCAAAGATATGAGTGCTAAGAAGAGAGCTAAGAAATATTTAGAATGCTTTCGAAGACTACTTTTTAATCTGGGACAAGAACATAGTCCGCGTGTTTAAATCTGTTCTTGTGGCTTTAGGATGAATCGCATCTAAAGCAGCCTCGGCACAGTGAAACTGAAACTGACCTCTTTGGTAAATATTAAACACTAGAGGGCAGTCTAGGCTACCACTAGGTCCAAAAACCTTCACAGATGAACAGAAGAAGAATATGACCTCTAGCCTTGACATACACCCCCACCAAATCTCATTGTGAATGGATTTCTAATAAAGGAAATAAGGGAAAAAACTACCAAAAAAATTCAACAGCAAATTGATTCTGAAGACAGATTAGGATAGTGGATTAAAAATACATTTAGTAACCATATTTCATAAAAAGCTAGCGGCTTCACTTACTCTCGGTCGTACCTGCATACCAAACTGATGTTGAAAAGGCGGCCCTGGTTGAGGAAACTGCTGTCGCTGAGGCATAAAAGGTCTAGGATTGGCAGGTCCAGGCTGGTTTAAGTTGGACATGCCCAAGGGACCCTGAGGAAGGAGGTTTGGTCTCATGGGATCCCGCTGGAACATCGGTTGCTGTCCTTGTGGGTTAAACCCTGGCCCTGGCTGGTTGAAAGCCATGGGATTCTGGCCAGGAAGAGGGTGGTTATTATTCATGAGCGGAGCTGGGCTCTGTTGATCAAACATATGCTGTCCTGGGAACCTTGGCTCTGTGAACGAGGAAAAAAACAAAGAGGAGAATCAACGTGTGGTGCCATATTGCTGTGCATCCATTGATCAAATGTGACATCTCTACTTCTGTCACACCTTAAAACTGCAAAGCAATTTACAGTACCAGCACCTTGTACGAATCTGAACAAATGAGGAAGAGAACGTAACGGATTTATTTGATTAAAAGGCTAAGAGAAGCCTGAAGAAATAAAAACATTTTCAAAGAAGTGTTTAACGGTTTTACATGTACACATTTTGAAAAGACTGGATTAAAATGCACAGACGTTTATTATACATAGAGAAATGCGTAGTTTTGAAAATTTGAAAATTGATGGCAATTTCTGAAATGTGTTCTATAGTCTGATCAAATCTCCAAAATAAAAGCAAGCACAAGGCATAATTTATAGCTTAATTTCCTGTAATAATTGGATCCAAACATATCGTTCGACCAATAATTTAGTTACACAAACAATACAAGTAGAACGATGTTTCCTTGGATTTCCTTGGTTAGTCTAGTTTACCGCCAATGAAGAAAGGGTCTCTCTCCTGAGGAGGTGGGGGTCCTCTCCAGGGCTCAGGGTGGTGAGGCCTCGGAGGGTGGTTAAAATTTCCAGGGACATGCTGCTGAAACTCAGGTGGTCCCTGAGTAAAACAAAAATTAAACCTCAGCTGACGTTCTGTCCCAACTGGAATTTGGATCTTTAATTGTTACTGAATAAGGGCCTTCATATATAAAAATAATTTATAAGAATAAGGAATGTTCTATGCTATTGCATCACAACATTTGACATGAAGAGGGTTACCAATCAGATGGTCTTTGATTTCATAAGGGGAGAACTTTACCAAATACGAACACAAGTACTGCAGGCCCCCTTAAATCTGATTTGCAAAATTCAGATACTGAAATTAAATTAGGAACCGAAAACATCTTAAAATCTTAAATCCAGAATCACACAGTTGTCCAATACTGTATATTTTAATTGGAAGACTACTAATAAACCGCCCTTCCGTCATATTATTAAAAATCTTTAATTTTTAGAAAAGAATCTTGTGCTTTCATTATTTGTACCATTTTATGCTCTTATGATCAGATTTCTACATTACATTCACAGTTCAAAGTGTACACTCACAATCACACCTTCAAAGGTAAAAAAAGATACCTTATTCACAAATCCAGATCGAAATTTCCCCAAAAATCTAAAAATTAAGTTGAAGCAAAATAATTGAGGGACCGACATTTACTGAATATTCCTGCCCAGGCAACATTTAAAACAAACAGATGATCAGTTACCTAAAAGGACATTAAGTACATACAGCAAAGTACTTCAATGCTAATGGAAACATTTTTGTAAATAGTAATGTACTCTGATGTGAAGCAGAGTTTTTTTTAGGTATAACTTTGTAATGAGGACATTTGTAAAGGAAGGAATTTGTAAGGAAAAGATAAAAAAATAGTTATGAACTGATCATGAATAAGAACATTTCTGCATATTTCTTTCTACAATTTAGAATGAACTGGTAAACAAAAAAAGACTGAGCATTACAGATCTACACAATGTACTCATTCTGAGGTACTTTTTTGTTTCACAGACATTTTTCTAACTTTTCCTGTGGAAGATGACAGAACATTATACTTTACAACCAAAAGACAACTGCATTTTTTGCTTCTGGCAATCGCTATTTGCTAATTTAATGCCTTACATGCATTCATTTTATAGCCTGAATGCCTTATTGGACATGATGTTCACATCCACAAGGAGCAATCCCATCTACCTCTCAAAGAAAAAAAGATAACAATCCTCTAATCCTTTCATGGAATAAGAAGCCACTTTGGTTTCCTCTTTATCCTCTTAAATATCCCTCTCAGTTAAGAAATTAACCTTCCTTCACCATATGATCCTTACGCAAATGGTGCTCTTACTTCTTCCCACCTTTTGTTAATTACTTGATGTTATCAACCATAATCCACCTTTTCAAACAGAATTGATGACTCTTGCACAGCAATGAAATATATAGCTAAAACTTTACATAAGTTGCTTAACAGAAAGTTAATCAGCTACTTTATGTGCCAGACAAGTAAGAGGATCAAACCGCTATTGTGCATCTTATCATTCAATTCAAAAGGTCAGCTGCAATCATACAATAGACTTTAATTAAATACTACAACAATACCTCAGAAATGTTACAAATTTGATAACCAAGTCTGTCTTCTCATTACTAATCCTTCATAAAAGTAAAAATATTCAGAATGTATCTGACACTATAGCACACAAAGACGGCTCCAAGACTAAAGTCAAAAACATGGTTTCGAAGCTGGGGTTAGGGTTGGGTAATTATATACGTTTTTCAGGGGAGAAGAGAAAAACAATACGTTGACAGACTTGCTCATGTTGCTCTGTAATGACAGTAGTACATTACACAGCTGGAGAAAAGGATAGTACTTTTCTAAAGATAATGTGACCAAATATTTCCTTTCAAAGAAAAGTTGCCAGTTTAATAGCTCTAATTGTTCTGTCTCATTATTCCAGCCTCTTCTAAGCACTTTAAGAAAAAGTGGATATTATTCACACAGTAATTGATCTTGAAAAGTCTTTTAATGACCTCCTACATGCATTTATACTGATGTTGTGGATTACACCAAATGTGATTCAAGTTGGGGATAGTAGCAGATCATACAACTAATGTGTTTGTTTTTACAGGAACATGGTCTACATGTAAAATCTACCTGAGTTATGGTGTATGGGAAATGTTTTTCATAACATTAAAGCAAAGGCTCGTTTATAATGCAACAGAATCCTACAAAAGTACCGATGCTTTTAGACAAATCTGAATCCATTAGTGGACTACCAAAAAATGTAGCTGCCAAATTTCTTCTCTTCAGCACAGCAATATGTAGGGAACTATAAGTAGTACAGTTAATTTTGGTAGCTTCTATGACGACTGCAGTTGTAACACCAGTAGGACTCTGAAATTAAGCTTAAGATGATAGGTGGGATTAATATTTCAACACTTCTTCCAAGAAAATATTCACTACAGTCATACTGCAGATGGGAACCTCCTTATACGATTAAATTTGATAGTATGATAATGTATGATAATCATGATTAATCAGATGCCCACTGGCAAATGGAAGTTGCTGGGTATTTTGTCACCTGCATTTTAAATTGTATTCTCCCTATGCCAGCTTGACAGCATTTGACAGCTGGGGGATCTAATGCTACATCTGCTCTCCTCTGCCGAAAGATCTGATCAGAGAAAATGCCCGTCATTCCTTTGCTATCTGCTATCTGCCATAATTACTGGGCTTTGCAAACATGTTGTGAAAACAGAAAACATTCAAAAATGAAAGAGCAGTACTATGTACAAGGCTCAGGCTCATTTCTGCAAGGTCTATAACCTGAATAAAATGCAATTTGCTGCAGACTCCCCTTCTAACCTGATTTGCATAAATCACTATAAAAAGCTCTACCCAGGATGTGTCAATCAACACCACCTGATGCCTCGCATCATTAGCTAGTAAGAGCACTTGAAACGCATTCGGCAATCTATTTCCAATACAGTAATCACTTTACAGACCTAGTGTCACTGCAGTAATAGTTTCTCTCTCATCATTAAACTGCCATTCCTTCTAAGCCCTCCACTGATTTGTGATACTTTGCAATGAGAACTTCTATTTAATGCAATGTTCTGCCGAGAGAAAAAAGATAATTAGATGCTGCTGCAGATATTCTCTATGCTACGCCAGGGCTTAAAATTTTAAAAGCTTTTTTTTTTGGCATTTGAAAGATACAATGAGAAACAAATAAGTAAAGCAAAATCTGATGTACGATATGCCCGTATTTCTTTGTTCTCCATGGTTGACTTTTTAGGTTGCTTTATGTGCCAGCCCATGACTTTAGATCCAAGCAGCAATACCTAAGCCAACCAAAACCCATCAGCGCCTAAAGCTCATATCAAACATTTCCAGTTGTGCAGGCGCATATCAATGTTTACAGATTCTCAAACAGTATTTAGCCAGGGCAGTCAATTAATTGCTATAATAATATTTCTCTACAAAGACACATGCAATCCATATCATTGTAGAAAACGAAGCAGCTGCTACTCACCGGGAATCTCTGGGGAACCACAGCAGGCCTGGGCTGGTTTTGCGCAGGCATCAAGGGCACTGCAATGAGACGAAACAGCCCATTAGATACCTTTCTGGGAAAGGGTTTTATACACACGGGGATCTTAAGTTTCACTTCACATAAATTGTTCAAGTTTAATGCAAAAGTGCAAAAGAAGGTTACTTATCCATTTAACCAGAAACACCAGCTCAGATTTCAATTATACCCGAGTATATGTTTTCAAATTAACTTGATGGGTATTTGCAGTTATAAAGAAAATGTATATTGTAAACGCTAAATGTGTAGATCAATTAAGCTATGATTTAATGCAGGATTTGTTTATTAAAACATGAACAGTGATTTTACTAAATGTAACTTATCCTGGATTTAGTTTTAAATTCATGCATGTAAGAAAAAGGCAAAAAAGATTAACCCCCCCACCCCACTGCAAAAACAAAAAAATAAAAATAAAACCATTAATCGTGACTCGAGGCACAACGTTCTCACCATCCATAACGAGGCAGTGCCCCTCTCCCTGCCCTAAAGGGACCACCCACTCATCTCTCAGAGAGATGCATTTTCATTTCGACCTCAACAGGACACCCAAATGCACCTCCAAGCTAGTAACAAGCTCACAGAAAGAGTACAGTTCAATTTCACCTGGGCACCAGTTCTTTCAGCAATTCCTGCATTTGGTAAGCTAGGGTCTCTTAAGAAGGCAGACTAGACAAGCCATAGAGAGATGTCTGCTTTGCTTCAAGGCGTGTGAAGCAGTGATTAGGGCTCTCAAGAGTTAAAATCTCAGGTGGGATTCTACTCTTATACCCATGAGCAAGGGACTTCACTCAAAATACTCCAGTAAATGCTCTGCTGTATAAACGAGTCTCCAGGTTGTCATTGCAAATGAAAATTTGCTGTCAATTCACTCAACTGGTTGAAATAAAGGAATCAAAAGGTCTCTGTTGTTTTAGACTTATGTTTGTTGCTACTGAATTCTAATGTACACTGGCTCTCATGAGACAGGATATAATATTTATTTGACCTATTGGTAACAACAATTTACTGTGAAAGCCGAAACCTAGAATAAAAGGTCATACAGGGAAATGAAAAAGAGGAGTTACTTATTTGGACTTGATGCAACTTCAAGGAGATCATATGAATTTCATAAACCGTACATTAAACACGTGGTCAGGTAAAAACCGGGTACAAAAACAGGAGAAAAAAAAACAATGGAAACCTTGCACATGAGAGGACACCGGTCCCCTGAAGTGGGGGTTAATGTGAATGTTCTTGGGCTGCTGCGGAGAATGGGCAGGCGGGGGAGGGCTGGTCAATCTCGGCCCCTCGATCTGGGGGCGAACGGGTGTCCCCTGCGGCGGGGAGGAGCGATGAGCCTGGTGGGGAGGGATGAGAGGCTGAGGGGCTGAGCTCCGCTGGGGACCTGGCTCCTGGAAATGACTCCGCTGGGGCGGGGGCGGCAGCTGCTGCTGCTGCTGCTGCTGGGGAGGCACCCTAGAATGCTGCTGCTACAACAACCAAAAAAAAAGAAATAGGGAATGGCTTTGCAAACACTCAAAAAACAGGCAATTAAAAATCACTGTGTTGCAAATCTAGAGGCACGACCGGAAAACTGTGGCGCATGCCCTCATACCCCAGGGGTCTGCTTGGAAAGTTAGCAGGATTACATCAATTAAACTGAACAACAGAAATCTGAAATCAAGTTTCAAAACCTTTCATACCAATATTACAATTATTTAGCAATCCAATACGAACACGAGTAAATACACTGCAAATATAAAGGGTTTTGCGTCATAATACCGAGTAATTTTGTACAAACTAAAGAAAAGATTTCCCACTGAAGGCACAGAGATCCCACAGTTTTTTCTGGGCATTGTTTTTGGACTGTCCCAAAACACGGCACCTTGTTGTTGACTGGAACTGAAGTCTAAAGTTGGTAAAATGAGTTCAAAAGTTATCTTGTCGTGTTCCTGCTCAAACTATGTACGGTTTTGCCAAATGACTTGCTGAAACAGAGATTTGGAACATGATGCATAACAGCCATCCATGAGTCTATGCAAATATGACTCAAGGGACCATAATACAGACAGTTTGCTTTTACATTTTCTGTTTCTGAGAACACGTTAGAGGTGTGAGGATTAAACATGATAACAGTGACCCCATATAGCCTCTTCCATATAGCTTACGGTGATCCTTCCCAAATCCTTTCAAAGTGTTTCACAGACTCTCAGACTAGCAAGACGTCAGAAAGCAAAAATATTACTACATTAGGCTCACACCTCCCCCATCACTCAATGACAAATGACTTCTCAACCTTTTCCTTCATTTACAGATCATTGCCTTCCACACTTCCACTGGAACCTGTCACTTTCCCATCTCTACAACCACCCTTTTCCTCACTCTCCTGTTCTTGTTCTTCTCTTTATCCCAACCCCCCGCCTCTTAATCCTGCTGTCTCCCATATCCTCCAACACACCTCAAGAGGTGTGCAAGTCTTAATAAACCTGGTCAATTTTCATAGAACTGTCTGAAGCCTCCTGTTAACACAGTGATTTCTAATATTTCTGGTCCTGGGCTGAACAGGACTTTCTTGTCCACTAAATCTTAGACACTATTTGTCTCTAGCTAAACAAACTACTTGATTGATACCAACTCATGATGGTCACCCCTTCAGATTCTGAGTTTTTAACTGTGCCATGTGCCATTTTAAAAGGTGGATATTTTTTAAAGGTGAGGTAGGGGGGGATAATACTATCAGGAGGCAAATAAAAATACATGTTCAGAAATGGACACAAAATCTAAAAAGTTTATACAATGCTGTTTAAGCCACAGGATCTGAACTTTCTACCAACTTGCACCATAAAAGTCTGAAATTTTAAGTGCATGGGCTCTAAAAACTTAAACATTCCATTAGATTATACATTGAATAAGGAAAGATTTCAGTACTTGTTTTCCAAGTTACTTAAACATCAAAATTTGCTATACACAATCAGTGGGTTTTCCATCACCAATACACAAACAAAAATCAAGCCCTGCAATACATACTTTTGGAGACTTGATCTAAAAATAGGAAGCTCACATTTTAAGCACATATATATGCATACAATAACAGTAAAAGGCATTCTTCAGTACAACAGACAAATACACTTACTGTATGACTGCAAGGAAAAAAACAGTTCTTAATTTAAGAAGGGCCAGCTTTGGTTTAACCTGGAAATGACTTTTCTCTTCGCTGTCTGTGTGCATTAATATTAGACTCCAGATGAGGCCCATACACAGTGCACAAGAGGGCACATGAAAAGAGCAGTTAATAATGTCCATGACTCATCGACAGCCAGTGTCAGCTTGTCTCAAAGACCGTAAATACTGTTAGGTAAAGAAGACAAGACAAGGAGGGCAACCTACTGCATACTAATTTGTTTTATATAATGCCCTGCCAATTCATTAGAACGGCCAACTAACATCTGCCATCAAGGTGATTCCTTGCCAAACTACTCATTGGTTAAAACAAAAGAACTTAAGGAAAAAGCACAGTATACTTAAACTTCCAAGTGTGCGGATTGTATTTCGAAAGCAATGTTTCATTACATTTCATTGTTGGTCAACACCAACAACAAAGTGACATACAGATTAGTCTGCACTCAAGTTGAAACTATTTTGGTAAAACACTATCATCCTTACCTGAAAACCCTAAATACGTTATTGAAAATTGGTTCTCCTCCTAACCACATCCCAAAAAAGCAACAAACCCCAGAACATTCCATGTCAAACAAGAAAAAATGTTTTGCACTGTAGTTCACATTACCATTTCTCTAAAACACTCCACACTGGAAAAGGTGATACTCTTTTTCAGCTTCAATCATTCAAAGTAAAATTAAATACTTCTGATTAACTTTATTTGATCTTCAAATGACCTGTTAAAGCCACAAACCTGACTCAGCATTTTGTGGATTTGTCATGAACTTAAAAACTCCCTTTAAAAAATATTTTCTGAAATACAGGTATGGTTTAAGTTATTAAATAAGACTACTTTGTGGTATTATTATATTGAAACCACTTCACAAGATCTTTAAGCCATTTTTTCTGAAGTATTAGACTCAAGAGTACATTAAGTATTTTACTGGGTGCACTTTTCAAATATGCTATTGGACAGTCACTGTGAGAGCAATAATCTCTTCTTTTGTTAACAGTATACCTCTGAAATGGCTTTCCCTGTCAGTTTGCAAAAATTCTCTTCAAAAGGCATTGCTTGAGTGCATGAACAGTCTAAACGAACGGATTATATGCTCCAATAGATATTTAATAATAAAAAATGGCACAAGAAACTAAATCCTGGGCAAAGTACAAATTTAATTTCATGTAATGCTTTCTGAATGGACTACTGCCAAGTTATTTAGTATAATCCATATATCAACATGGATAAGAGGGCCAAAGAACTTGTTTAATTGACTTTTTCAAAAGCAAACGAACACTACTGTTCCAAAAGGACATGCCAAAAGAAGGACAAAAGCCAACAGATAAACATACATATTCACAAAGGGTAGCAAACATTCCAATTCTGCAGTCATACCGCAGCTAATATTAAAGGTAAATATCACAAAAGATTACCTTAGCGGTTTCTGCCTTGGTTATTAAATGGCAAAATATTAAATTCTTTCACATTTTAACAAAGGTACATATCTCAAGATACACTGCTGATTTATATACAGCTTGTAAAGGGCAACATTGCTATTCAAAATGTAACCTTTTTAAATTCCACGTTAAAAAATAATCTGAAAACATTTCCGGGAGGAACAAACAGACCTCTTTATATTCTCAAAATCATACTTTTCACTTAGACAAATGAACAGAAACTAGACAAAGTATTTTAGCAAATAAACAAGATAAATGCAGGTTTAATGCCTAGAACAACTGTTGCAGACAACTAAGGGGTTTTAAGCATTCTGGGAAAGATACGTTTTCTTAACTAAATTATTTAATACAATGCAAAACACCATGAGTGAAATATACATCCTCTTCTAAACAGATCCCACGATAGTCACTTTTCCAGGGCATAGAATTCTTCAGGCCACCGACAGTAGAGAGGTGTATTTAAAAATGTAAACACGAGTAAGCATGATGACACATTCAGATTATGTGCAATTTTAAGAGAATGACCAATCTGCCTGTTATAGAAAACCTTGTGTCTGTCCCCCCCGCATGTATACAAACCCATGTAGACAAATTTAAATGAAGCTGACATAGAACTGTCATAAACCAGTCCATCACTGCCCTTCCTCACCTGCATGGCCATTGGCATGTGCAGGAGCGGAGGTCTTTGTTCATTCATTCTTCCTTTATCCGGACCATCATTCCTGAAGTCTCCCAGTCCGAAACCGGAAAAGTTCCCTCCTCTCCCTCTTCCTCTCCCTCGCACCCTGCCCCGGCCCCCGAAGCGGCCCATCTTCCGCTGGCGCTCCTTCTCCTCAAACTCTAAGAGGGCTGCTTTCGCTTCTTCTGAAAGCTCTGCAATCAGAACCAGTAGTGACAGGGCCCATTTTAAGATCTTTTTAAGAGCTGTTTCACGAGATGATTGAAAATGGAATGGAGTAAATGCAACCCCTTGGTCTGCCTGTAGGTGGCGTACACGCTGTGCCTGGATTATCTTTTCTCCATCTCTCAACTCAACAAGACTTTGTTCCAAAGGAGAAGATAAAATCATAAAGCTTATCACCCATCAATATTTATATCAAAAGCACAGTTTTTCAGTGACAATGAAATCTTTGAAAAAAAGAATATGTTAGGGAAATAAAACAGCCTTTTATATTCTAACCATGTCATCAAGCACTTCTCCTCACGCACTGTTAATACTGTGAATCAGCAATTATTTTCCCGGCACTAAATGTCGAGATTAATTTTACTATCCTCAGTAACAGAATGGTTTCAGACGACATCTTTAATCAGTAAGTAAGAAGTGCTTTCTTCCAATAGAAATAAGCTGTCACATAAGGTCACCAAAATGTGACAAAATGGAAATTGCATTTGTAACTTTAGCTGAAATGTCAATTGGCTTGTTAAATGTTTTTCTTCAGCTATTTCAAGATTTCACACTTGGGAGATGTTGAACTTGAGTCGCCTTTTTTTTTTTAAACTGGATAATTCCTTCTATTCAGAATGAGTTGGAGAGGTTCTTGGGTATACAAAATAACTTAAAGGATATGTAGCTGTTAAATACTTAATGAAGAGCTGTAACAAATGTAAAAAAACACTGAATCACTGTAAGCAAATAATGCTATAACCTATTACCTTAAAAATATTTTTAGAGCTAGTAAAAAAATGTAATACTGACAGAAATGTATAAAGAGAGAATTCTAATTGACAGAGACGTAATCTTAAAATGTAACTGCTTCCTTATGTCATTAATATAAAAATTGTGCTATGAAACATGCGGATAGCCATGTCTAAACCCTACTGTTTTCAGAAGACAAGTCAAGACACTACCCATCATTCAGGTTCTAAAATGCATACAAACGTACCTAAGGTTTCTGGAATGTTTCTTCGTTTACTTGCTGCATCGGACAGGCGTATGACGGTGACGTCCTTTCGTTCAGTTTTAAAACGCTGTCGACCTGATTCTTCATCCTCCTCCTCCTCCTCATCGGACTCTTCCCTGAGCTGCTGTTCCTGCTCAGTTTCATTCTCCATCTGAGAGTAATTGTATGTTAAGATTCAAAATAAGTTTGACACATTAAGATAAATACTAAGGACTAAAAGTATCTAACACCTACGAACAGAAACCCACCATATTGGCTAAAGAGAAACAAATAATGGCATGAGTACATTCTGACCACTTGCATAAATGATTTCAGAAAGCAAAAGGGCACTAACTGACTTTTGTGGTGAATTAAAAGCACATAAAACATCTTGGATGACTCAAATTTCACCTGGTCACCACGCACCACGCAGAAGAATTCTAGACTGTAACATTACTTTGAAGAAATGTTAAAAGGGAACATGTTTTACCTGTCTGATTTTTATTACCCAGGAGGACAACAAGTTCTCCCACCTCTTTTTAAAGTAATCTTATCCATGAAAGATATGTTTCAATTTTGTATGGTCTTAAATACACGGGAACAAGACTCAACAAAGTCTTCAGTACTTTTTTAAGGTTACATTCACTTAACTCCAAAAAGTTCAAAGCACACCTTAACAAATTTACTGTTTAAACAAGTTAGGGAACTAGTGCAAGAAAACATTAACATTGCTGCTTATATCATCATACATGGTCTTTCAGCAACCAGTTTATGATGTATTTCTTATGAAATTATGATAAGACTAAAAGATTGATAAAGACTATTTCCAATAAATTAGTCTATGCCACACGTCTGAAAATGAGAAAAACATCACCACTGAAGACTATGTGCAGTGTGTTTCTTTACCAGTTATATTTGACTATAACATTTTAGTTGACTTACAACTTCTTCCTAATTCTACAAAGTGAGAGATAACATTTTTCTGGACATAACCAAATCCTATACTCTTCTGCAGCCATACTAAGCTAAAGAAGCCATCTTCTGCCTTGCCTTCTCTCCTGGGTCCTGACACAGACAATGCAGCTCACAGTCACAGACAGGCAAAGACAAAGTAGGTCAGCAAAGCTCTGAATGCTTGACTAGAAAACAAGCCTTGCAGTTCAGGTCATTTCTTATGTGTTCATTAGGCTTGAAAACATTTAGAATTATATAAAAAGCACCAAGTACTCCACTAAGGCTATGGCTGGCATCAGTGTTTATGTGTAGGTTAGGCAGTATAAAACCATAATCAAGACTGAGCAAACAGCTAATATTTTAATCACTACATTTTCTTTTAATTTCAAACTATATTTTAAATGCTGCATTTAAATGGAGCTCAAAATGCTTCAGAACTAAATTCAATCTGCTTGTTTTACATGAAGATACCCTTAATGGAATTGGTCCACTGAAGATGTTTAAACTAGACACTGTTGAATTTTCGGCAGCAGCAGTTGGGAACAGCTCCAGACTGACCTACACACAACTGTGTGCTATTTAAGAGCATCCACTTACTGATTTGCTCATGCAAAGGGAATTCTTTTTAAAACATCTAAAGTTGGCCATCTATGTCATTCCCATCAATGCTAAGGATAAATCAAACACGGAAAAGGTATTAAATATCTGAATGGCGATAATTTACAGTCTACTACACTTCTCCACCAAATTATATTAAAAACACTCTAATTACAATCACAAATGAATTAGCTTCCTACATTTGCTGCTTATATCAATATCAATACATGAGTCTGATAAAAATGATTTCCAAAGCTGGGAAATATCTTTAAAGAACAGCACTCTGTGATATGATTACCCAATTGCTATTCCCAGCTTTCCTACTTATACCTTTCAAATACAAATTTATACCGGCACTTGGTTCCTCATCACATACCCAGTCATTGTAAAATCTAAAGAAAAAAATGCCCATACAGAAACATGGCTATTTTATTTGTTAAGCACTACAATAACTACAAACATTAGTTACAGATAACAGAGATTCGGGAAACTACATGCTTCTTATAGCCATTAAGACTTATTAAAACAAACCCAAATAATTTCAGATTCAAAAGAAACTATCAGGTCAGGCTACACTAAGGGTTACTGTATAAATGGTAATACCTGTATGTCCAAGCAGCTTTGGTGAGAGAAGATCATCGATTTGTAGCGGCTCGCAGTTCTGATTTCTTACCTCTTCTGGATCAACGGCCTGCGTGCTTGGGGTGGCTTGCTCATCCTCAGCTTCGTTCGGCGTCTCCACCTGAACCTGCAGCACAGTTTGCTGACTGTGGTAATCCTGGGAGTACTCATCATCCTTCAGATGCAAACACACACAACACGCAACTGTTTTACAGACTGCACACTGACCTAATCCTTTTCTATCATTTCCCCCCCAAGTTAAATCCTCCTCACGCGTTTCGCACAGGTTTCTGTAATGTCTACAGTTAGGAGTATGAATTTCAGAGAGTAAAATATTACTGATAGCATCCAAAACAAAATCCATTCCGAAAAAAAAAGACTTCTCATAAGGTATTTTGAAGTGCATTTTTATCATACCCTTTCTTCAACAAGCTGTATTGTAGCTTATATATGTTAAATTTGTCACATATTTAAAGTTTAATTATGGAAGCAAAAACAAGGTTTTTCACAAACAGCTTCAAATGCAGTGAAGAAACATGTAAAGGGGCTAAGTGAGCCATAAATTACCATAACAGTAGCAGCCAGCCTCATTATTATTCTTTGCAGTATTTGAAATTCAATGAGATGTAAATATTTGACACGATATACAAAAATACAAGATAAACACTCTAGTTCAGTGATGTTGAAAATATCACCTACCAACTTTGCCGTGCATGTTCCTGATTTTGTATGGGACTCATTGCCAAGAATGTTGTACACAGTGAAATAATACCTTATTGCCACATCAATGGATTAAGGCAATATTATTAGCTGCATGAAAAACTACTTTAATTTCCAAGCTAAGGAACCATGTTCCTCATTACGGTTCCTAAACATTAAATGGAAAAAGAAATGTACTCCAACAGTAAACTTCAAACTTTAATTTAATTTATAAAAAGATCAAGTTTTTAAATTGCAAGGTTAGTTTAGAGAGTGTCAGGATAGAGCAAGGTGCTATCCAGAGTAATTAACTTGCTAATACTGCATTATTAAAGACAAATACTCATTAACACCACCGCAGTAGATGGACAGTTCCCCCCTAGGAAAATGACTTAATCCCTTAAACTGTTCCAGATATTACCTCCAAATACCAGCAAACAGAAATGTTAAGCCTGAGCAGTTCAGTGCCCTTGTAAACAGAGATATAACACACAACAGATACTTTTCAAAATTACTTTTAAGTAGTGTTGTGTATTGCTGGTGAAAAGGTCAAATGCTTATCTTTAAATAGCAAAGAGAGCCATACATCTTTGTCAAAAAGGAGTCTTGGCATTATTTCTTTGTAAATAATGATAAATGGACCATGCCAGATATCCCTTCAACATCTATGGGTTAATCTCTTTATTCAGCTTGTTATGAGGTTATAAAAAATGGAAAAGAGCATCAATCATTTCAACCATATTTAAACCTTATAGGTGTCTTTAAAGAGGTCAATAATCTTTTCACCTATGCCGCACTTTATCAGATCTTGTCTAAAGCCCAGATAAAAGCTTTGCATTAACCACCTCTGACAATTGGCAGCATATCTCCACCACACAAAGCAGCTTTTTTCCACAAGGATACAGCCCTCAAGGTCACAATTCCACACCGGCTCAGAGCCGACAGAAGAGTATTACCTACCGCCAAACAAGCTGTCAACACAAACTTTGTCAGAGAGCAGATAAATAAACTGGCAGAGAGTGATAATAGATCTAATTTCCCCCCCTCCCATGGGACGGAAATAGATTTCAAATCAGCCCTAAACCAAGGGAGGAAAGCAATGTTATCTTTTGAGATACAATAGAGAGGACTTACTTGAAATTCATCATCTAGTGGGTCATTGATTTCAATGTCTAACACTTCACCGTTGTAAATTTCTTCCTCAGCCTGCTCTCCTGTGTATTCTATTTGGTCCTCTGCCAGCTCAGCATCAGTGGCTTCATACTGTTCTGCATACTCTTCTTGTGAATAACCCTCCACCCCCTCTCCACCTTCGTAGTCCTCAGCTTCCAAATTTTCGTTGCCGTCTGTGTAGTCTGCATCTTCCAAGGACTGCTCGTTAAGGTCGAACGAAGAAACCAGAGTAGCTGTAGTGTTGAGGCTTACGGTCATTCCTTGGGCACTGCATGATATGAAGAGTACACTTTTAGTTTTGTCCCTTTCTTTTCAATTTCCTATGTTACAATGTTAAAGGAATGCAGGTCACGTTTTGCACAGATAACTGGTATCTTATTCGGCACATTAAGATTACAACCATACAGAAATGTGCAGAACATTGCACTGCACACAGAAGGAACGAGGCAAAATACTCAAATATACAAGGACTGTAAATTGAAATTGCTGCTCAAATACTTTGATAAATTTTAAGCAGAGCTAATCAAACTTGAGAGGAGGAAGTTACGATAACCTCAGAGGTTTCCAGTCCCATACGTGTTTTTCATAATTTACATAATCATAATAATTTTTCATAAGAGTATCTGCTTGGACAGTTCAAAACAATTTTCACTCTTCCACAGATAACAGTACACCAGCTAAAACTTTTTATATCTGCACAAAACACTCTTTTGGTGGTTACAGATGAAAGCTGCTTCTGATTTTCTCCATCACAAATACACTGAGGGTGTACCCCATACTGATCTACGCACCTGTAAGGAATCTAACTTAAAGTGGTTTTGAGTATATGTGGCGTAAAGTGAGCATAAAATATAACTAGATATGTTTCACAATATGCTGTTTTAGACCATACCACCTCACTCCCAGTACTAGCTGAAAATGACTACTATACCTAATATTTTGATCTTCTTCATCACTCTGTAGCAAGTCATCATTCAGCTCTTCATCTGACATATCAGAAGGATTCTAAAACAAATCAAAACCAGAAAGATAATTGAGTTGCCAGAAAATACTTGAAACATCAACCAAAACAGGATACAGATTTGTTTTGCATTTATTTGCATATGTGAATCTAACAGGAAAGAGAAGAAAGTTATTTTTTCTGATATGGAAGATTTCCACCAGATCTCAGGACTGACACCAAAAGAATAAAAAATGGACTATATATTTATGAATGCCTACTTATTAATGTCAGCCTTGAATGGTTCACTAATGCCCCACAACAATTAATGTATGGCATTTGGATGGAAACTGTTCCTACTTGATACACAGAGTGCTGAAACTCATAATATGCGGTAATGTAAAAGGGCTACTACATACTTATTCTATGAACACTATAGCAAAAGTAATTTGTCTCCAAATAAATCAACATTTTAATTTAATCAGTATAGTATGCTAGATATTTTGATATGTATATTTCAGACACCGTCAGTGACAGGTAAAAACTATGAGCATGAGAAAGCGAGCCTTACCTTTTTGGCCGTAAGCCAATCATCATCAAGTAAGTCGTATTCCAAATCACTGTGGGTTGGGAGAGAAAGGACATTATAACGGAAGCTGTAAACAGGTACTGAACTGATTAGATTAGAACTAGGTATTTCATTGTGAATTTGTATTCGATTTCAACATTTTACTTTAACAGTAAGACTATTTTCTACATTAACAACCAGGTTTGAAAAGAAGCATAGTAGTGAGAACCTGTATTTTATCTCATCCTCTTAAGGAAAATAATGGGTTTATGTTACTGTTTAGTGTTTATGTAAATAAAGTCTAATTTCTAAAACCTATATAATATTCGGTAGATGTTATTTCAGAACAGGTGCACATTGTACAAAATGCATGCAAGTTATTAAAACTAACAAGGAAATTGGCTCAAGTACTCTCAGAATGCTGATCTTTAATTGTTTTTATACTGAACATGGTCACAAATCTGATACAGGTGGTAACAAAAATACATTAACATCTACCCAGTACTTAAGTTCAGTGGCAGACGATTCAGTTGCAAAAAAAAATGAAAATGAAAAGGCTAATGTAGCAAATTGGAAATTTACGCATCTTAAAGGGGTTCAAGTTTATTTGTTGGAATATACTTCAGTTAATGCAGAATGTCAGTCACAGAGGCACCTGCAAACTACAAACATGACATCCACCTATGTCTTTCACAGAATGTCCTATAGATTGAGGTATGGAATCCAGAAGTGAGCCTTCCCTGCCCAGTCATTAAATAAGGCTTGGGTTCAAAACACTGACAGCTAAATAATACTGCACACGCCTGCCAGTACTGCTAGACAGCGTGTTATCTAGTGTAAAGTACTGTTTAATTTTCTACCCCAGAAGCTCCAGAGATGTTTTTGCATTTTAATTACTTGCAGGGTACAGTTGGCAGTCAGATAGGAAGACACCGGTGTGACACACCAATCGGGGAGCTCACATCAGAATTTTGCTACAGACTGGGTGACAGTTGCTGGCAACACAACACATTTCACCCTGGTTTTCATATTCCATCTTGACACATCATGAAAATACAAATTTTCAAGGTTTTTCCTGACTTTTGCATTGCATTGTGGCTTACTTGTGATAAAACTGGATGCCTAGTCATACTCCTATTCCATTATCAAACGTCATGTGTTCGCCAACACGTTTCAAACAATAAAAGTTAACTGGCATTGCTAATACAGCACTGTATTAACCTCTGGCTCAACCTGTAAACTGAGCACAGGCCGAACTCAAGAATCATGGGCTTGTGTCTGGGTTATGTCACTAGCCGACTTTGACCAGGATTGCTCAAGTGGTGGCTCAGCGACCCAGCCACCTCTTTGCGCCTTCTGTTAATACTTCTATTAAACTCCACAGAGCCCCACGAATTAAAAAAACTGTCCCCGTGACAGATATATCTCAAAGATCACAAAATTCTATTGCTGACATTTAACTAAACAAATATTTTTCTGTGAACGCTGAAATCTACAGATCACTTTCAGTTTACGACAGCCAGTCAGTCAAATTCTATCTTTTCTTGTTTCACCAATTTTTTTGCAGCAGTCCCAAAAGTACTTAGAACATGTACAGATGGTCACCACACTAATTTGTGTTGAATCAAAAGCAGATTTTTAATACTATTACTTTAAGTGATCACTGACAGCTGATTTTGCTTTTATGCTCTGACGCAACACGGCATGAACTACAGAACAACGCCCTTCCGGAGAACAGTTTGCTCAACATTTTGTATCTTTAACATTACTGAGCACTTTTTCAAGAAATTCAAAAATCTCACTTAAAATGTTCTCATCATAATTTTAATTCCCTTTTTATTAATAATCAAGTATTAAAGAGAGCAAACAGAGTGGAGATCCCTACACAACTGAACTTACATAGAGAGATGGTACATGCTACAGCTTTGGGAAGACGGTGCAGTCAGTCATGAGCAATATTACAGCCCTTGGGTGAATACATAACATCACTTTATTGGCCCTATACAATTTCTTGCATTAGGAATTCGTCTTTTCGCAGACCCCAGCTTGCTCTCCATGAGACACAGGCACACAGACGGGGAGAGAGAAGCTTGGGGTCAGAGCGCAGGGTCAGCCATTGTACAGCGCCCCTGGAGCAGTTGGGGTTAAGGGCCTTGCTCAGGGGCCCAACGGAGTAGGATTCCTCTGCCGGCTGCGGGATTTGAACCGGCAACCTTCCAGCCACAGGCGCAGATCCTTAGCCACAGAGCCACCGCTCCGCTCCGAATACGGACAGCACAGGGACAAGGTAGCACTTCTATCGCAGCTAGAGGCATTACAGACTAAACTGCAGCCACAGTCCTCACAGATACAGATGTCTCAGCAGAATTCCCAACCAGTGTAGTGACCGTACAACCATTTTTCTCCGTCTCAAGACGGGGTAAGCGATCACGATTACCGAACCCGAGACTAGATTGCAGTATCTGTTGCCCTGTTGCCAGTCCGATGTAAGCACAATAACTTTCACCATCAACCAGCGTCCTCCCACAAG